AGATGTTAGTTCTTGAAATGGTACAAACCACATGGAAACTATAACGATAATGAAAGAAAACGATAACTATAATGTATGACTTTCAGAAGTGCTGACATTTGTGTAAGAAGAATACTAAACATTTTTCAGTTAAGAAAGCAAAAGGTCTGTCATCATCTTTTCAGTTTTTGAGTTTTTTATTCAAACCCCCCCTTTTGTTTGCATTAAAACTTATTCCAAAGATTATTGCTGTTGTGCTAGAGACTGACTTTGAGCTTTATGATATGTTAAAACAATAAAATCTGTATGTACTTACATCTGTGTGTATATTATACATCTAACTACATTTATATGTAATATATATATATATATATATATATATATATGAGCATGTACATACAAGGTGCCCATAAACACACACACACACACACCCCCAAAAGAGGTTACATACATTAAGAGTTGAGTTGATAACACTAAAAGTCTCTGTCATTTTGACCATCTGTTTCTCTAATAAATCTTATAGTCTCCCTTAACTAGGCTGTGCCAGTATTTGGAAGCTGTAGATAACACTTAAGTTTCTTAGATTTTTAGAATATTTTCCATATTAAGAGAATGATGCCTGTGAAGACAATTCAGCCAAAACCTTGAGGCACCTCAACTTTAAGGAGTACCCAGGATTTTTTCAAGGAGAGTTATAAAGGAACATGAGCCTCTATCTTCGTGGTTCTCAAAAGTGTGGTTCATGGAACCCTAGTAGCCTAAACCTTTTTAGGGGGTCCACAAGGTCATAATTATTATTTTTAAAACTCATCTAAGGATATATTTATTTTTAGAGAGGAAGGGAGAGAAAGAAACATTGATGTGAGAAAGAAATATCGATCAGTTCTTTCCCCTCAACCTAGGTATGTGCCCTGATTGGGAATCAAACTCACACCTTTTTTTGGTATGTGGGATGATGCTCTAACCAACTAAACCATCCTGGAAGGGCCAAAATTATTTTTAATGCTAAGATGCCTTTTGCCTTTTTCACCTGTGGTACAAAAGCAATGGTGGGTGAGGTATCTTAGGATGAATCAAAATAGAGGCACCAGACTGTACTATAGAGATTATATTCTTCATTTGCACACACTACTTTAAAAAATTGCCAGTTTTATGTAATGTCCTCATTGAAGCAGTAAACTTATTATTTTAATACCTCTCAAGCGTTGGCTGCATATTGTATTAATACACTGTGGTGAAGGAGAAGAACATATAAAATACTTCTACCTTTTAAAGTACAATGGGTGTCTCAAGAAAAAGTCCTTATTTTAGTTGAAAGTTGAATTAGCTTCTTTATCACATTATACCATTTTTACTTGAATAAAACAAATGATCATTCAGACTTCATTATGTGGAAGACATTTTTTCAAAATGAACAAAGTGACACTTCAAAAAGAACAATTGATATATTGGTTGAATTTGCTGCCAAAAATGAAATTCAGACTTTCAAGTGATTACAATTTTGGAAATCTTGTATTCACCACCATAAATTTGACAGCTTTGCATTACTTAAAAGTGTTTCTGATGAAAGTAGTGGTGATATTAATGAATGTGATTATTTTTTTAATCCTCATCCAATGATATTTTTTCTATTGATTTTTTTTCTAAGAGAGTGGAGTGGAGGTAGTAAGGGAAAAGAAAGAGAAAAACATCTATGTGAGAGAGAAACATCAATTGGTTGTCTCCTGACCAGGAACAGGGATCATACCTACAACTAGGATACGTTCCCTTAACCAGGAATCAAACCTGCAACCCTTTGGTCCATGGGCCAATATTCTAACTATTGATCAAAACCTGCCAGGGCATGAATGTGATTTTTTAATATAATTTGTCAACACTTGGAAGAGCTACATAACTCAGTGATCTAATATTTTCCAGATGATCAATGCGTATTGTTATAGAATCATGCATAGATAAAAGATCTATTCAAAGTACAAGATAGATGAATCAATTTTAATATCAGGAGTTTGAAAAGTAGATAATTTTCAGATTCCATATTGCAGCTAATCAAATCATTTTAATATATTATAAAAAATGAATATCCACAATTATATGAAAAGGCTATGAAGGTACTTCTCCCTTCTCCAAAAACGTATCTGATTCATAAATTTTAATCAAGACAACATATTTCAACAGATTGAATGCAGAAGCAGATACTAGATCTTCTATTAAGCCAGTTGTTAGATATTTGCAAAAATGTAAAGCAATGCCATTCTTATTTTTTGCTTTATAGCATATAATTATTTTATAATATATTTTATGTTAACATGAAATGGGTTTTATTATTTTTAAATGAGTTAATATATTTTTTTAATTTCTTGATTTTAACATCTAATATGGTAAATGTTGATAAGAACAGCCCACATTTTAGAAAATGCTCTTTGAGCATCCCATCTATTTTAGAATGTGAAGGAATCCTGAGATCAAAAAGTTTCTGTGTTTTTTTTGTTTTGTTTTGTTTTTGTTATTTCTCACCTAATGATATTTTTTTCCATTGATTTTTTAAAAGAGTGGGAGGAGTGGAGGGGGAAAGTGAGAGAAACATTGATTGATTGCCTCCTGCAAAAGTCCCAACCAGGCTGGGTATCGAACCTGAAACCCAAGTACATGCCCTGAACCAGGAATTGAACTCGGGACCCTTGGTGTCCTTTAAATAGATGCATTTTATTCCTGAAATTGCTCCCCACTTCAAAGAACAAACCCAAATCCTTCCAAGATGGTCAGGAACCTATCATGAAGGACACAACAACTGAATCTATCAAAGAAGGTAGACTACAGCACAGGTACTGAACTTGTCACTGCAACAGAGTAGGGCCACCCCAGATCTGATTTGGACAAGCATTGCTCCGTGAACAAGGATCCAAATTCACTCATTTATTTACTCAACAGACGGTGTTCAGAGCCTCTTGTTCGTCAGATGTTGCAGTGAGTGATGGGGATGTGAAGTGGAAGACAATAGCTTCTGAAGCAAGCTTGGAAATTAAGATGAGTTAGTGCCTGTCTGTGATTACTGCTGGAGCAACCATGACTTGAAAACTTTTGAGGCAGTGAAATGGCAATGATTCATTGAGAAAAGAGGTCTTGAAGTGTCAGAAAAATAAAACTTTGAGTTAGTATGGAATTTTAATGGTCTAAGCATATACATTTATTTAGCTTGTCTGGCTTTCCAACAACATGTTTTTGAGAATGCATGTGATAACATAGGTTCTATCTTCAAATAGTTTGCAGCCCAGGTTTAGTAACAAAATGGAGTTAAGAAAGTTGTGTTTTGGTAAAACAAGGAAGTCATATCAAATGCTGCACAGAAGCCAAATAAATAGGTCAGGGGTGAGAGCTGCTGGATTTTCAACACTGTATTAAAAAACAAATCCAAAAGGAAGACATGTTACTGCTTAAGAAAAGGTCAGATAAAGCAGCCAGACAGAATGGATAACATTGTGATGGTTTCCAAAGATAACCACCTGTAAATTCAAAGAATTTTCTTTGGGCTGTTAATTGTGTAGCCTTTAATTCGGCATTAGGGAAGAGAGATCCAGGAAACAAAGAAGGCTTGGGAGAATAAGCACTAAATGTAGCCTTTCCCCTGCTTTTAATTAGACTCTTTAATAACCAGGTAAGATGTAGTAGTGAGCTAGATTATTGGATCCAACGATGGCGAAAGGGTGAGCAGTTTCCTCTTTAGTCCTCCTTGGCCATTCATTCTCATTGCCATAAAATAAGGAAAGAATATTCCTTCTCATAGTAGCAGAATGAGTAGCCTCAAGTCCTGGATCTTAATAAAAGCAGTGGGCCTGAGTGCTGAGAAAAGGGAATACAGACTGAGAAAAGGGAATACAGACTGAGAAAAGGGAATACAGATTGAGGAAAGGGAATACAGACTGAGAAAAGGGAATACAAGCTGAGAAAAGGGAATGCAGGCTGAGAAAAGGGAATACAGACTGAGAAAAGGATGCAGCTGATTTCCCTTGTCCCAGAGTGGCCAATGCCCTTCTATTCATTTATCTTCTGTCATTTAGATAGAGATAAGTGTTTTCAGAATCAACTGATTTCTCAGAAGAGATAAATGATAAATTTGAGTCACAGTAAAATATAAGAAATAGAAAAAAAAATCAAGTCAAAGAACAGGGACAAAAAAAAGGGGGAGGGTTTTGAACAAAATGAAGATCACCCCAGTCCCCCCCTGCCCCAAACATCACCGTCAATGAAAATCTTCCCTCTTGCCGAAACCGGTTTGGCTCAGTGGATAGAGCGTCGGTCTGTGGACTGAAAGGTCCCAGGTTCGATTCCGGTCAGGGGCATGTACCTTGGTTGCGGGCACATCCCTGGTGGGGGGTGTGCAGGAGGCAGCTGGTCGATGTTTCTCTCTCATCGACGTTTCTAGCTCTCTATCTCTCTCCCTTCCTCTCTGTAAAAAATCAATAAAATATATTTAAAAAAAAAAAGAAAAGAAAAGAAAAAAATCTTCCCTCTTACAAGGACCATGTGGCAAAATTGTTTGCCTTCCCCAAGGAGCAAGCAAAATTCTTCACATATAGGGCGCAGTAGAGAATGAACACAAACCAATGCTGAGATGACACTTACAAAATAGTTTAAAGCAACAACCCAAAATAGTAAGATTAATAGCAAAAAATATCTCTAAGGTTAAGCTCTACTTCCCCTGGTGCCCTTTTGTTCTGTTCTAGAGAGAATCCAGGAAATAATGGATTCTGAGACTGCTCTGGCCATGGACCGTCTGGTCCATGTGGAGCCAAAGGGAACCAGCTAATTGGACAGGAGTGAGTGAAGGTACTTGTCTCTTTCCTGTGTGGCCCCTTACTTTAGTCAATGACTTATGAAAACACCCACGTGCCATGATCACTACTATTGTAACTCCAGTCACTGTTTCTGGAGGGTTGAAGCACCATTTCGAAGGTGGTTAACAATGGAGTATGTTGTGCATGAAGATCAATGCGTTCACCAGTAATCTCTCCTTTCTCAGAAACATGATTCCTGTGACAGAGTTCCGGCAGTTCTCTGAGCAGCAGCCTGCCTTCCGGGTGCTGAAGCCGTGGTGGGATGTGTTCACCGATTACCTCTCTGTGGCCATGCTGATGATCGGGGTGTTCGGATGTACTTTACAGGTAGGTGCCCAGACTCATGTCAGATGGGGCCACATCAAGATGGTCATTGAAACCTTACAAGAGCTGGCTGTGTGATTTTAACCAAGTAAATGTGAGTTGCTCTTCAATCCTTGTAAATGATGTTCATAATCATGGCAGAGAGCCTGAATCCCTGATTTACTGGACTTTCCTAATAAGGTAAATATGCTACTAGTAAGGTTTCTCTGGGCCCAAACAGAAGTAAGGGGAGTATTTGATGTCACTAACATTAAAGGAAGTCCCTTATCTTAAAAGTCGGCTTTATAGTAAAATACAGCATGTATAGTCACAGCACCATTTATATTGCCAAAATGAAACACTTTTCTTCACCTCTTCCACTAACTCCTGATAATATTTTCTGGAAGAACATTTTGATGGGATATTACCAATTTTACCCATTGTTTATGTTTTAAATAAAGATAGCCCAATCAAAATTTATTCGATATAGATGCTATGTATTCATATATTGAACCCAGGTAATTTTTATATACCTACTATGTGCCAGGCACTGTACTGTGAGGAAATATCTATGCATATAAAAGGCTAACATGCAGTGTTTCTGTGGGAGTTCAACTGGGAGACCAGTTCTATTGCTCTCTATGACATGCGCTGACCACCAGGGGCTGGCATAGAATGAAGGAAGGCCCCTGACAGCAGCCGGAAAGCTCTGATTGGCCCTGATTGCCAGCCAAGCCTCGGTACCTTACCTGTGCACAAATTTTGTGCACTGGGCCTCTAGTATGTAACACACACACACACACACACACACACACACACAGAGAAGGAGGGAGGGAGGGAGGGAGGGAGAGAGAGAGAGAGAGAGAGAGAGAGAGAGAGAGAGAGAGAGATAGATAGATTATTTGGGGGATTAAACTGAATAAATAAACCAGCAATCAGAAAAGGTTGTGTTATACTACAATCGATGTGTCCATAAGCAATAAGAAGTGCAGAGGAGAAGTGCTTGCCTTGGGATCAAGAGAAAGGGGGATGGTTGTATTAAAATTTGGAGAACCAGCTGAAGTTAGGGAGAGGGAGATGAAGGTGGGACAGGGTGCCAGGAAGAGGAAGGGAAGTTCTAAGTCATGGATGTGAAGAAGAACGGGACTTCTTGGGGAAATTCAGTGGGTGTCATCAGTGTGAGAATTGAAGCCATGCCCATGAGTAGAATCACCCAAGGGAAACTGGCAAGTGAGATGTTAGGAATAACATTAAAAGGCTGCATCTGAAGAAGACTAAGAGGGAGCAACTATAAGAAGGGTTGGAAACAGGAGGAGGGGCTCAGAAGTCAAAGGCAGGTGTGGTTAATGATGGCAGGCAATACAACTAGCTCATGGGACTATGGAGAGAAAAGTAGCAACTAGGCCATTAGCAATCTTAGTTTGAGTAGGTGGGTGGAAGTTAAAGGCTGTGGGCTAGGTACTTCAGAATCCCTTCACCGTTTTCACCCAGAAATACAACTTGATAGTTACAGAATAGTCACGGGGAAGTAGATTACAGCATAGGATATATTGTCAATAATATTGTAATAACCATGTACAGTGCCAGTTGAGTACTTGAAATATCAGGAGGAACACTTTGTCAATTGCCTAACCCCTCTGCTGTACACCTGAAACTAGTACAAAATAATATTGAATGTAAACTGTAATTGAAAAAAAAAAAAAAAGGCTGTGGGGTAGGTGTGACTTTCAGGAAAAACAGCTGAGAGGAAGAGGAGCTTGGAGGAGAGAAAAATAACTATAAGTGGTGCAGAGTAAAAATAAAAGCCTTTTTAAAGCTGATTTTAACTCTAGTTAATACATAGTGCTTCCTTTGTGTCAGGCATTTCTGAACATGCTACATATATTTTAACTCATCCATCCCTCATGACAACCCTAAGACGTTATTATCCCCTTTTAGAAATGAGACAGCTAAGGACAGAGTTTTGGGCATCCTCCCAAGGTGGGTGGCAAAGCTCTTATTCAAACCCAGACAGTTTGGGCCCAAATTCCCTGTTCTTAATCCCTAACACCATACTACCTTTTACTTGTTAGCTGAAAAAATTTTGTCCTTTCTCAAAAAAAAAAAAAAAAAAAAAAAAAAGAGCAATGAAAACCTATGTCTTTCCTCTCTTTCAAGAGATTTGAAAGAGAGGAAAGACATAAATTCATCTATAAATAAAACAAATAGTTGTTGAAGAACCTACTGTGTGCCAGGCACTGTTCTAGGAGCCAAGAATTATCAATACAGGTTGGGGGGGAGGGAGAATTAATGTCCCAACCTTAGGGAGCTTACATTCTATGGGGGGGGGGGGGAAACAGAAGAAAAATCAATTAGTAGATTACATATGTTAGAAGGTAATAAGGGCAATGCGGAAAAATCGGACATACATGGACTGTAGGAGATCCCAGCAGCAGATATTCTCTAGTAGGCTGGCCTGCAGGGGACTAAGACCAAGGAATTGCAGGTTGTGCAGGAGCAGGTCTGGTAGATGTCCAGCGAGGAGCCTTCCAGGCAGAGCGAACAGCGAGAGCAAGGAACACACAGGACCCTTCCGCGGGAGAATTTGACATTTACTTTCTCAACTTTCTAACTCTGTGTCTCTGGAGACCTGAAAAAGGTAGAATGTTAGTGTTACTAGGCAACATTGTTTATGATGTAAGTGACTGCTGATTGGTCAATGGCATCTGGGCTGATAGAAAGCCATAGCATAGAACTTCCGTGGTTGCAGTGACACCAGTAACCAGGCATGTCCTTTGACACGTGGGAGAGGTATATATTGAGTTACGAGAGATATGGGAACCTTTGGAACATAAGGCTTTTAAGCGAGGATAAGTCCAGACTCTTCCTACAGTGGGTCTCTTTTCTTTGCACCTCGGATGATCCGGGAAGGAGAGGCTCGGAGAAGAGCCTAGCTCCTGCGCAGCAGGATGGACCGCTGTACAGACAGTAAGGAGATCCCCCAGACGTCACCTTACCGGCAAGTTGTGAGTCTATCCTTTACCCTTCTAAGTGATTCTGGTGCTAAGGGAAGTTTGAGATTGTCTTGTAAGTCTGGATGTGGAGATGAACCTGAAAGACCCCAGGTGGTGTTATAGGCCTGAAGCAGGGGCATCCCTGACGTTTGAGGGCAAAGCCAGGAGGCCCGTCTGCTAGGGAAGAGTGCATGAGTAGAGGAGCAGAAGAATGAAGTCCGGAGATGCCTTGGAGTCTTTGTAAAGTTTTTGGCTTTGCCCTGAGTGAGGTGGGACATGTTTAGAGGATTCTGAGCAGAGGGTATGTCAGTATGTGACTTAGGTTTGAACAAGATCCCTCTCGGTGCTGAGATACAGTGCGGGGAGAGGACAGAAGCAGGGGATTATTTAGAAGGCCACCACAGTAAACCAGGCAAGACATGAAGGAGATGGCTTGGACCAGGATTAAAGTAGTGGATCTGGACATTTGTTAAAGGAAAGTCACTAAGATTTGTTGAAAGATGGAATGTGAGGTATCAGAAAAAGAGAAATAAAAAATGATTCTTAACAGCGGTTAGGTCTTGAGCAACTGGAAAAAGTTCTAAGCATGTTAAGTTGGAGATAATGTGTTAGCTCCCCAAGTAGAAATGTAAATAGGCAGTTGGATACAAACTCAGGAGATCAGGGAAGTGAAGAGCGATTATCTCAGGAGGAAGGAGGTAATGGAACCAGGTGGGAGGATCATCCTTGACTTGGTCGAGGGAGCATCTTCCACCAACATGGGGATGGTGGATATAGGTGCATTTTATTGGGGCAGAGGGAGGAGAGAGGCAGAGAGAGATGGATGCATATGCCTCACAGCTTCTGTGGAGTAGAAAGTGGCACATGTGCTGAGAGGTTGAGGGTAAGGAAGACAGGACGTGGCAACAATGAAGGGAGTAGAATAGGATCTTCAAGGAAAGGCGCAAATATTTGGAATGGCGGTTCAGGAAACAGAAGGAGGTGACACAGCAGCAGGAAGACTGCACACTGCCCTTCCTTTGTCACTGTGCCCAGCACCCAGCACTGCCATAAGCACGAGGTTCACTTCTCTGTGTACATAGTCCACGGCAGGAGGAAATGCAGAAAAGAGAAACCTCACAGGAAATCTTTTAAGAGCTAGAAGAGAACTTAGGAAAAATGAGCACAAACAGAGGGGAGCATGTATCTATGAAAATATCTGTAATGAACCTCGTTTGGGAGATGTGACTGCAGAAGGGGATTCGAGCACAATTTCAGCATCTTTCCTGGACCTACGTACAGGCTACGTACAGGAAATGTGGCTTGAGATGCCAGGGTTCAAAAAAGAGAATGAGATGCCCCAAAGGATTGTTGCATCAGAATATGAACACTACCAGGCTCAGCAAATTCATGGAGTGGACTATTTATTCAACATATCTCTGAGCACCAGTGATACAGCAAGCATTGTGTGGGGGCTCTAGACACTGAAAGAGAAATACCGTATAGCCCCTGCCATCAGGTTACTAATAGTCTAAAGAGCGTAGACATACATAAGCAATGTAATTCAGTGTATAAGCACCTTTAGAACTTTAAATATGATGCTATCATCTCAGCTACTGGGAGTTAGAGACTTGAAGAGGTAAAAATAGAGCTTAGTCTCAAAGAATGAGTATACAAAATTAATTATATATATTTTACAAATCATATTTCTTTTCTTTTTTAAAATATTTTTTATTAAATTATTATCTGTGTACATATTTTAACATTGCCCCCCCCCCATACATACCCTCCCTCCCCAGAGTTTTGTGTCCATTAGTTGTACTTATATGCATGTATACAAGTCCTTCGGTTGATCTTTTATCTCCCCCAGATCTCCCTACCCTCCCTGCTGTAATTTGACAGTCTGCTTGTTGTCTTTATATCTGTCTTTTGGATCATCAGTTTATAATGTTCTTTAATATCCATAAATGAGTGAGGTCATGTGGTATTTCTCTTTCATTGACTGGCTTATTTCACTTAGCATGATGTTCTCTAATTCTATCCAGGTTGCTG